GGGGGGGGCCCCCCCCCCCCCCCCCCCCCGCTGGCAATGTCCCCTCCCAGTCCCGCCTTGTGCACGGAGCAAACGGCAGATTCCCCCTCCAAGCAACAACAGGATCTGGTTGCTGAGGCGCCCGCGTGATGCCACACAGGACAGCATCACACTGGCAGCAAAGAGAACGCAGGGCCCTTCGGCAGATGCCCCGGGACGAGCTCAGTCTCCCCTCCAGCGCCAAGGCTCCAGTTCCGGCCCGTACGTGACGCCACGGGGGAGCCTGGTTCAATGCACCGGTCCCGGGGCAGCTTGCCGCATGAGGCCGGGTGGGTTGGCACATTTCTTCCTGGCCACCAATGCAGCAAGCCACCCCTTTCATGGACTCCGCCGCATGCAGGCTCCGGCCACGCCTGGCAAGCGGGTGAGAGCGGCCCCAGGCCTGGAGAACAAGGGAAGGGCCCTCCGAGCCGCGAGCCTCCCACCCCATCGCCTGGAGCCCACTCACCTCCCGAGCGGCCCCAGCGCTTGTGATGGCGCGGAGCAGGCGGACGGTGAGGGCGGGGAGCGTGTTCACCACCACGGAGAGGCGAGCCTCCCACCCCATCGCCTGGAGCCCACTCACCTCCCGAGCGGCCCCAGCGCTTGTGATGGCGCGGAGCAGGCGGACGGTGAGGGCGGGGAGCGTGTTCACCACCACGGAGAGCAGGACGATGCACAGGATGTACGGGTCGGTCAGAGCAACCCGGGAGGCATCTGTCAATAGGACACAGGCCAGGGTGAGTCTCCCGGGGGCCGGGGAAGCCCAGGATGGCTCTGTGTGCGCCCCGAGCCTGGTCCGGGGGACGGTGGCCGACACTTCAGCCTGCGGCAACAGCAGCTCTCCCCAGACAGCCCTGGGGTCCATGGGGAGGCAGCAGGAAAGGGGATCAGGGCTCTGGCCCAAGCTGTACAGGCGAGGGACCGACAGGCAAACCCATTCACAAACTGTGGGTGGACTGGTAACATTACATTTGCATCGTTGCATATTCATTATGCAAATAACAAATATGCAAATGAGATGTTATTAGGAGGGATGTAAGCAAAAGCCTAGAGGTTAATGCTATCGACGACATGCATTCCCCCTCCTCCCTTGCTGATAAAAGTTTTAGCAGGCTGGCCAGCAGCCCGGCTCAGTCCTGGCTCATGCTGGGTCTGGGACCTGCCCCCGCTGCAGCTCTGCATTAGGGCAGGCAGCCTGGCTCAGTTCCGGCTCGTGCCGGGTCCGGCAGCTCAGCCCCCCACCCTGGACAGGGGCTGCTGCCACCCTGCGCTGCTGCCTCTGTGTCAGGCGGCAGCGAGGGGCGACAGGCAGCTGGTCCATGAGGGGAGCTGGTTTATAAACTGTCTCCCCTCCAGACCGGCTCCCGGCTGGCACCCTGCGCTGCTGCCTCTGACACAGGGGCCCCTCGGGAGCGGGGCCAGAGCGCACTGGCTGCCGGCCCCGCTCCTGGGGCCTATCAAATAGTCGACTAACAGATAAGAATTCAGGAGGTTAATCGACTAGTCAATGAACTGATACTTAACATCCCTAGTTAACAGTCCTGGTCCCCAGAGCTGATGCAAGCAGCTGGCTTCAGCTCCAGCAGCCCCCCGACCCTTAAGGCTTAGAGCCCCCCCCACCAGGCACCCCAGTGCGAGCCTCCTGTTTCCAGAGCCCCGCTGCACCCAACCCTCCAATACCTCTCCCAGTGCCAGCCCCCAGTCCCCAATCTTAGCCCCATCCCCAGGTGCCAGCCCCCAGCCTTCTCACTACTAGCCTCACCCCCAGGAACTCCCTAGTGCCAGCTCCTCACCCGGATGCCCCAGCGCCCCCCAGTGTCAGCTCCACCCTGCCTGCCAACATGACCCCCTCACCTCACTTCCCTGCAGCTCCGGCTCTGGCCCCAGCTGCAGCCACCGGAGCAGCCACTGGCCGCCCGCCACGTGGCCTGCAGCTCCAGCCCTGGGGAAGGTGGGGCCAGGACTGCGTGGTGGCTGCCTTGCTGCCACCGTGGCCCCACAGCTGAGCAGCCACTGCTGAGGAGGTGGGCAGGCCTCAAATTCTTGGTGCGAGCCGCACACCTTAGAGGGAACCCGGCTGTGCTCCCCAGCGGAGTCCAGCTGGGGGCGCGGCCTGGCGGCGTGCGCAGCCCAGCAAGAGTTCATAGCCAGCACCGGTCCACGGACGGGCGGTTGGGACCCACTGGCTCTAAACACTCCCTACACCCCCAGGATGTGGGGGGGCCCAGCCCCAACTCCCTGCTTCTGGCCCTGCTGAGCCAGGGGGCAAAGGGGCAGGGCTCAGGAGAAATGGGGTGGGGGTGGGGAGAGTGAACGGCCCCAGACGGGAGCCCTTCCCCCATGGGATACTGGGGGAGTCCTCACCTGGAAAGCGGAAGTAGGACGGGGCTGCTCTGAAGACAAGGAAATTTTGGGTGAAAAAGGAGAAGAAGCAGAAGAAGAGGAAGCTGCCTGTGATGGTCAGGAAGGTCAGGACGGTCCAGAACTTAATGTCCATGACGATCTGTCCAGGAAGAAGCAGAACCCGCAGCCTGTCAGCCCCTTGACTCTGCAGCCAGCTCCGGGACTGAGCCCGGGAACCAACAGGCTCCACCGAGTGGGAACTGCCCTGGAACGAAGCGTCGGCTCCGGGTTCCTGCCAGCTCTCACCCCGAGCCTCATCGCTGGGCCCGGCTGCCAGGCCGGCCCCAGCCCCTTCTCCGACTCGCGCCAGCCGCCCGCGAGAGCCCTGCCAAGCCGGCCCCCTTCGGACGGCTGCGCTTTCCGGCCTGCCCTCACCCATCCAGCCGCAGACGGTTAGCACAGGCCAGGCCCGCTTCAGCCCTCGTGTGCCCTGGGCTCTGGGGGAACAGCGCCTGTTTGGTCCCCTTGCGGCTAGGCCTGGAAACCTGGGCTGCTGGAGAGCTGGGCTGCTTCTTAGGCCAACAAGCTCACCAGCCGCCTGGGGGCCTACATCTGCTGCTCCTCAGGAGGGTGGAACAGACCCAGCTTGGCCACTTCTGCCCAGCTACCTCTGCCCTCCACCTTGCTCTGAGGTGGGGCGGGGGCTCGGGGCTCACCTCCACAATGACAGACAGGAAGGCCGAGGTGGCCACGGTCACGGCAAAGGCCTGGTAGTCGTTGGTGGCCTTGCTGCTGACCTCGTCTCTGAAGGCCAGCAGGGCGATGAAGAAGCTCCCCAGGGAGGTGGCCGTGCCGTGGAGGAAGGTCAGGCAGAAGACCCGGTAGTTGAAGAGCTCGTTTCTCTGGCCCACTTTGTAGAGTTCGGGGACCTGCAGGCTCCTCTTGGCGCTCACGTCCTGCCGAGCGGCGGGAAGAAAAGGAGATGGGGTCTCGGCGCACGCAGAAGCTCCCCCCCTCCCCCTCCCGTTACTGAAGCCACCCTGCTCGACCACGCCGTTCACCTGGCTGAGGAGCCCGGGGTGAGGAGGAGCCCAGCCACATGAAGGTGGAAGTGGAGGGGAGAAGATATTAGGGAGGAGCCGGGAGGTGGGGGGTGCACCATCCACCCACATGAGATTTTGGGGTGCGTGTGCAGTCTCTGGGCGCAGAGTCTGGGTCCCAGCGCAGATGGAAAAGAACCATGCTGAGGGAGACAGGGGAGATGGGGTGCAGCCCCCCTCACACATGGGGTGGCGTGAGGCCTTAGGAGTGAGGAGAAGTTCAGAGACATGGAAGTAATTCGCACAGTCCGGTCAAAGACACGTAAGAGAGACACAGCCAGGCCTGCAGGTGGCCCGGGCCCTGCCTCAGCCTGGACGACAGGACTAGATGACCTCTCAAGGTCCCTTCCAGTCCAACGCTGCTGGGATTCGAAGTCCCACAGAGCAGCTTGGAGGAAAGGAAGACGGAAAAAACTGAGCCAGAGATGCTGCCCGGGGTTAGCCCTTCCTTCGAGGGTCCATAACCAGGCTGGCTGTGAGCTCCTCCTAAGGGTTTGTGCCCTGCTTTGCTGCTCTCAGATGGATTCCCGGCAGACCTGAAAAGCATTTTTCAGAACAAGGAGGGGAGTTTCTGCCTGGCCTTTACTTTAAGAAAGTTCTGCTTTTGCTGGAGGTCTCTTAGGATGATCCAGAATCAGGGAGGGGGAGTTTTCTTGGCCTCTACCTGAAGGAGCAGGGGGTGCTGAATCTTTATCATAAAGCACTTTCCTCCCAACAGCATGCTGGGTGTTTGAGTTAAATGCAGCATAAATCAAATGCAGTCCAGGTGTGAGTCTCAAACTCCCACTGACGTCAGTGGGAGTGGATTTAGGAGGGCTTTTGGCTAGCCTGCCTTCTGAGCACAATTCCCCTCCCTAATCAACTGGGCTTAGGTTTTCAGCTCTTGCCCTGACTGGGCCTGCTTTCTTCCCATGCATCTGTAGAGCATCTCGGGAAAAACAGGGGAAGCAAAACCTGACATCAGAACACAGGGCCAGATTAATCTTTTGTGGACCTTTGTGCCTGGACCATGGCCGCATCCTCCCACTCTGCCTGGGCTCCACGCCGAGTCCCCCTCTCCACGGGGCCACTTCCCCGGAGGGGCCCCTCCCCCCCACTATTCACATGGGGGAGAGGTGGAGAGAAACAAATGGGGGAAGAGAGAGGAGAGGAGCCAGCGGTGGGCAGGGCCTTGGGGGAAAAGGCCAAGCAGTGGTGGGGCCAGGGAGCAGAGCGTGAGTCAGCCCCTTTTGCACGTAGACCCGGTGCCAGAACCCCGGGGCTGTGGGAACAGAACCACAAGCCGGAAAAACTCCTTAGGAAAAAGGAATCAACCCAAGAAACGTCGGTCTCAGTTTGCATGGCAGCGGAGGGCACTGAGCCAGTCTCAGCCGTGGGCTTTGCAGCTCCCCTTCAGCGTGGCCTAGTGCAGGCGTGGCGGTGACAAGTGTGTCCATTTAAAACCCAAGGAGCACCGCACTCAGCTATTCAAACAAGAGACAGCGAGCGCTGCCCCGGCACCTGTCTGCGAGGTGCTCCCTGGGGAACAACAGCCGAGTTCCCGGGAAAGGGAGATGAAGGGAATTGAACCCACGATTCCCCTGGTGGCTCCGGGACACCGACAAGGCCAGTCCCAGAGTGCACTGCAGCCGGGAGCAGAGCGGGCTCCCTGGGACACACATGTTGGGTCCGGAGAGGGGGAGCAGGTGCCAGCCCGTGTGAACATCATGTCAGTGAACACCGTGAACTGTGGACACACGGAGGGGAAAGGGAGATGAAGGGAATTGAACCCACGATTCCCCTGGTGGCTCCGGGACACCGACAAGGCCAGTCCCAGAGTGCACTGCAGCCGGGAGCAGAGCGGGCTCCCTGGGACACACATGTTGGGTCCGGAGAGGGGGAGCAGGTGCCAGCCCGTGTGAACATCATGTCAGTGAACACCGTGAACTGTGGACACACGGAGGCCACATGCCCGCAGAGCTCGGCCCCCGCGCCTCTGACGTGCCACGGCTGAGC